CATACAAATATTATATATGTGTGTGTATGTATATATATAATTATTTCTCATAGTTTACATCCCATTTAAAAAATTAAAAATTGGGAAGTGAGTACACATTTATTTAAAAAACATGTTGTAAATCTTTATTTAAAAATGGCCATCTAGAATAACTTAAATCAAATTAGTTAGAAAGTAAATATAACATTTCTTATATTAACTATTATAGAATTTAGTCTGTGAAATCAAAATTTAGTCAATTCAGATAGAGAATAAGTTTTAAGTGTGCTTATTTATCCTTAGTATAAAGCAGTTATACAGTAAATTCTAAAATGTAAAAAGTAGTTATAACTCAAACTTTTTTTTCAGTTTCGAAATACATTAATAAATTTAAATAGTTTCATTGAGATCAATAGAATACATTTATTTAAAATTTATTTAACAAAAGAAACTTTAAAAAAGAATGTAATTTTAATAGCTTTAAAGCAAAAAAAAAACCTGCCACCGCATCCAGTAAAGGAGGTTTCATTTTGGACTTGAACGCATAACTTTAACGAGAGTAAGGTTAAAATTGTCAACCTAGGTTACATTAAGCAACTTTGGGGTGCACAAAACAGCCCCCTATAATAATAATAATTATTATTATTATATTATTATTATTATTAGGGGAATTGGTCTTTGCACCCCACATTTGGGATGAAATTGGACTTTGCACTCCATTTTTAAAAAAGTTTGATTTTGCATCCCATTTTACTTCAAAATCCTTTGATTTTGCAACTCATTTTAAAAATTTCCTTCACAAATGTTATATGATGGGGTGCAAAGTCAAATGTTTTTTAAAATGGAGTGCAAAGTCTAATATCACCAAAAAAGTGGGATGCAAAGTCAAATTCTCCAAAATTATTATTATTATTATTATTATTATTATTATTATTATTATTATTATTATTATATTATATGAGTAATTATTACGGAGTATTATTATACCGTACCCTCTTGTGTAGAGGTTCAAGACTAGATATATTTCGGATTCCATCCGGAATTTAAATCGGAAACAACTTTAAAGAACCGGTTTAAACATTATTAATTTAATTTACTAAAAAATACCATTATGTATTAACTATTAATAATACTATGTTAATTATAAAAGCTTTTCAAAACAAATTAGTATTTATAAAATTGTTAATCTCATGACTCTCGCTTCTCTCTAGCGCTTTAGCCGTTTTGTCCGTCTTCGATTTTAATTGAAGGACGGCCGCTTTTTCCGTCTTCGATTTTAATCGAAGGGCGGCCGTTGTTGTTTGTGTTTCGTCCTCAGAGGGCGGATTTGATGTCATGGCTCGAATAAATCGGCGTTATGGTCAAGGTTCAAGGATGAGGCGGTGTTGTCATTGGGTATGATTGGATCTATGGGAACAAGTTTGGCTGTGTCAAGCCCACTACATGGTTAGCGATTCGTGTTGCTCTCTCAAGGGTGACCGTCTCAAAGTCTCACCATAGGGTTACAGTCATAGTTGTTGGAGTTTCAGTTGGTGTCTGTTTTATTTTCCTTTTGCTTGAGTAATGATACTGAATCTTTTGATATGAATAGAGGTGCCCGTTTAATGATAAAAAAATACTATGTTAATTATTTATTAACTATTAATAATACTGAATCCTCCAAAATTCATTTAACGGGAGTGAAGGTGGCCTGACACCTGCAGATTTCTCCCGCGGTGCCCCAATTATGAAAATAGTATTTTATCTTTTTCCGAAAATTCCATATTTATGTGTCTTGGACAAAGTTTCACCACAAGGATTGTTATCCTTCAATTCCTAATTTTATATTTCCCCCAAAATATCTCATGTATTCATATAATCCAATACATCTAAAAACACAACAAATACAACTTGCTCACAAATTAAATAATTCATCATTCAAAATATACATATCATCACGTATATCAAGTAAATAATTGTTTACGAGGTAAAAATATAATTTTGGTTACAATGTGACTTACCTCGAATTGAAGAGATTCCTAACAAGCTTATTTAACGCCTTCCTGCCTAAGTTCACCTTCTACCCCCTCTGTCCCATTTTGTCAATACAAATCACACTTAATCTCTAACTTTATATATCAAATTTTTATGAAATTTGAATTTTTTTTGCAGTTTTTGTGGCGATTTTAATTGAGTTTCCGAATGTAATTCTTTTTTCTAAAATAAATTTGAATGCAGACAGAGATAATCTTACCCATCGTCCAATTAAACTCTAAATTATATAAAAAAGTGGGTGCCCTAACCAATAATCAATCCATTAATTATTATTAGTAAACCTTACTCTTTTTTATACAAGTCATAGAGTTCCTTTCCAAAAAAAAGTATCACACGTCATACTTTTTCACAATATTCTCACATTTTAAACTGTATTAAACATTTTTCAATATGTTGAGTTTCCTCTATTTAAAGTTTCTATACTTTGTCCTTACATTTTTTGGTTTATTCTTTAAAATTTGGATTCGGTTTGTAATTTTTAAATTTAATTTGCAATTTTGAATTTCAGAACATTTTAAACTGTATTAAACATTTTTCACATGTTCAGTTTCCTCTATTTAAAGTTTCTATACTTTGTCCTTACATTGTTTGGTTTATTCTTTAAAATTTCGATTCGGTTTATAATTTTTAAATTTAATTTGCAATTTTGAATTTCTGAATATTATATTTTGCGCTTTTTTATACTCCGTATGTTTTACTTCGTATTAGTTTGTGTGTGTGTGTGTGTGTGTGTGTGTGTGTGTGTGTGTGTGTGTGTGTGTGTGTGTGTGTGTGTGTGTGTGTGTGTGTGTGTGTGTGTGTGTGTGTGTGTGTGTGTGTGTGTGTGTGTGTGTGTGTGTGTGTGTGTGTGTGTGTGTGTGTGTGTGTGTGTGTGTGTGTGTGTGTGTGTGTGTGTGTGTGTGTGTGTGTGTGTGTGTGTGTGTGTGTGTGTGTGTGTGTGTGTGTGTGTGTGTGTGTGTGTGTGTGTGTGTGTGTGTGTGTGTGTGTGTGTGTGTGTGTGTGTGTGTGTGTGTGTGTGTGTGTGTGTGTGTGTGTGTGTGTGTGTGTGTGTGTGTGTGTGTGTGTGTGTGTGTGTGTGTGTGTGTGTGTGTGTGTGTGTGTGTGTGTGTGTGTGTGTGTGTGTGTGTGTGTGTGTGTGTGTGTGTGTGTGTGTGTGTGTGTGTGTGTGTGTGTGTGTGTGTGTGTGTGTGTGTGTGTGTGTGTGTGTGTGTGTGTGTGTGTGTGTGTGTGTGTGTGTGTGTGTGTGTGTGTGTGTGTGTGTGTGTGTGTGTGTGTGTGTGTGTGTGTGTGTGTGTGTGTGTGTGTGTGTGTGTGTGTGTGTGTGTGTGTGTGTGTGTGTGTGTGTGTGTGTGTGTGTGATGGTGGTCCCTTGCACATGCTTCTTTGTGTTTTTTTATATCCCACTACAACAATAATTGTTTTTATAGCACAATATTATAGCACTAGCTTTCAAGCCCGTGCGATGCACGGGCAGTATGTAATTTAGCTAATTTGAAATTTAATTTCTATCAGATCACATATAATGTGATTTAAAAGAAAAATAAACTTAGTCTAATATGGAGTCTGTTTGATAATACTAAAGTAAATAGAATTAACTTATTTTGCTGAAATTAATTGAATTCTGGTTAAATAGATGGAATCTTCTGTATCATGAAAAATATATGTGAAATATATTCCATTTGTGAAACAAAGAAAAAAATATATGGAAAAAAAAGTTAAATGGTCTTCTACATAAGCATCTCAAGTAAACATAATTGTTATGAACCCAATAATAATAAAAAATTCTATATTTCTTAATTGTTAGATCTTACAGTTTACTCATTAATAAGAACGTTTTTAATTGAATTAAAATTTCGGGTTTGATTTTGTGTGAATTAATATGGTCTATTAGATGTCTGTTTTTTATGTCACTTATTGTTATACTCCCTCCGTCCCTAAAAGGATTGCCAAGTTTGACCGACACGTAGAATAATAAAATAAAAATTATGTGGTAGAGATTTGTGCAGAGGAGAGAGAAATAACAGGAACCACAAATTAATTGATTAAAAGGGAAAGTGACAAAGTTTTTGGGACAACTAAAAAAAGAAAGTTGGCAAAGTTATAAGGGACGGAGGGAGTAATTATTAAAGTTTGATCTGATCTGATTTAATCTGGAACTGAAATCAATCCAATTAAAAACATTCTATTAAAATAAAAGTAGGAATTCGTAAACCTATAAAGATTTTCTAATTTGGATTAGGAATCTACTTCAAAAGTGAAGACATATTTGAATTTTAGGTGTAAAATAAAAAAAACAACCAAAAAAATTTAATTATTTGGCTAAGCTAAACATATTTACTTATGAAAATATATATACTTTATGTTGGTTATAATTTTTAATTTCATTTTTAATTATTTACTTATTTGAAGCTTACTAATTTATTAATAGGTGTCAAATTAATAAGTAAACTAATTTACATATTTGTTTCTATTTAAATCGGTGTAGTAAACTAATATAAATTAGTTTCCATATCAATAAACGTTATTAGAATTTTACTTTGATAACCAAAAATTATTTTACTTATTTGAAGCTTACCAAATTAGTCAAGGTGGATTTATAAGGATTTTTGTTTCCATATCAATATGCAATCAAAAATAGAATCTAATAAAAACAAAAGGTATAAAAATAAGTAAATAATTGTTATATATAATGACATGGCAGGATTATGTGGCGCTTTGTATGCTCTTAAAAAGTTCCTCTTTTATATATATATATTGATTTGTGGATCTAATGCTACAGCTTCACACCGCCAATCTTAACTATTACTCTAGAGAAAAAAAACAGGTATTTAACAACAACGTCAAAACCGCTATGTTAAGCTCTGTAAAAAAAAAAACTGCTATGTTATATCGACATGACATGCAAAAAAAAAAAAAGGCGGGCACAAAAACAGTGCGTTAGGTTTCTCAATTCAATACATCTTAAAAATTTCATTCTCTCTCAATCCCTGAACCTCATTCTCTCTCAATTTCACCGCTTCTCCTTCACCGTTACCTCTCCAACGCAAGTTCGGCTCTTCTTCTCCATAGTTCTTTCTCAGCCTTATCGTTTCAGCAGCTATAAGCATTCAGCAAGGATCGATTACTATTTCACCTTCGTAAGTAATTACCGATTCTTCTATACTTTGTCTCTATAAGACCAATTTCTATTGAGATTATTTTCTGGTTTAAGATTTCATTTAGATGTAGGACCAATTTCGATTGCTATTATCTTTTGAACTACTGCACAGTAGAAAGCCATGGTCAAATAAAACTTATCAATTTTGATAATCGGCATTTAGTATCACCTGAGATAATGCCATCTCCAGGATTTGAAGCGCTAGATCACTAATAGATCCTTCGTAGGTCCACTGGTGTTGATTTTGATGCACACTTTTAATAAAGGATCTTAAGCTCTCTTCACTGCTAAGTTTCACTTTCACTTTAATTTGACAGAGCATCGCAATATTAAAGGCCTGTAGTTGTGAATTTGTCCCTTTGATTTGATTTCAGAGATTTTGTTTATCATCTATGCTTAGTATTTTGATTGTTTTAGTGCTTAATAGACTGAAATAGGGATTCATCTAATCTGACCTGCATCTTTGTTTTTCGTATTTAATTTTAACTTAACATGAATGATTTCCTAGTTTGCTTTCATGTCTCATTGAAATTTTCTTGTAGTTCATTTTATTTGGAACTGCTGCACTAACTATGTTTTGAAAACTGTTTTCTTTTATTTTCTACACTATTTTAAATTAGCTAGGTATTAGTTTGATGAGAGTATGATATAATCAACACAAAGTCAATTAGTGCAGCCAATTGAAAAATATACATCACGTGCATCCTTTCACTCTTTTTATTAGCTATGAATAACATTTTTGCTCCACTAAAAACTTCTACACCTGACAAACTTCTATATTTTATCAAGATATTACAATTAATGATATAAAATAGAAACAATATGCTCTAATAATAGTAGCTGAGGAGAATTACATGGTTCTGAAGTTTCACTTTTGGCAATAGGTTAGTGGAAGGAGTTATTGAAGTGAATTGTCATGATGTTGGTAAATAACTATGTAATATAATCTAGTTGTTAAATTTAAGAGAAAACATGACTAATATTAATCTAGTTGTTCCAATAATGCTTCAACCTGGTGTAAAGCAATCATGATTTTTTGTGTTTTCTGATTCAATTTAGATTTTAGGATTTAAATCTCTAGTGAGTCTGATCAATTAAGATTTTGATTTATTTTTATTGAAGGATCTTTTACTCTCTTCCCCAATTGAGGTTCACCTTCATTTTTGCTAGGGCACACCAGAAGACTTGTCAATTTTTTTCCCAGCAGTTGATTGAAGAGCTTGTTTATTACCTCAATCAGGTTCGTATGTTGCTAGTTTTAGTTGTTTAGACCATCAATTAAAAACTTTTTTATACCATCAAATAAACTACTTAGAGTGCAACTATAAACTCATGTAGGTATTGGTTTGGCCCCCTACTCTTTGTATTTCTTTTGCCAATAAACTGGTATGGTGTTTCCTAGCCCCTACCCCAAAAAACCTTTCATTTTTTTTTGTTTTAATACCGGGTCCAAATAAAAACTCATGTACTTCAAAATAAAATAAGTGGCAAGCCGCCAAAACCGAAACTTAAAGGATGCTTTGAAATTGAATCTCTTTAATTTTCATATGATAAGGGACACTCCAGTTAGAAATCTTTATCTTGTTATTGATATCAATTACCTCACTAGATCTTATGCTTTTGATACTCTTGACTTTTTGACATTCAAATAAATGCGTTTCTACAACTGCGTGTGAGCTTAAGTTAATGTGTTACCTGATTTGCTTAGCTTGTTAGTGTGTCATGTTGGCATTTTCACTATATCATAGCTAGTGTGTAATTTACTAAGTGACCTCTTATGTGATTGTTTGTTATGAATGACCAATTAGATTTGGTTTAGTTTCATTTTAATATTAGAGAAATTGCTTCCACCAACCATCATGCAAGAGATGATGGATAAAGTTTGGGTGTGGCTCCACGGGTAAGAATATCATCTTAGTTTATTACTCCTCTAGTACTAAAAAGTGTAGCTGTATAACTAGATATAGAATGTACTTGTTCTTGCTATTCTGAAAATCATAGATCCACTCTCGAGTACCAGCAAAAAGCATTAAAGTTTGTGCATACGGCTGAAAGGAATCTGGGATATCCTGCAAGGATGTTCTGCCCTTGCAAAGATTGTCGTAATATGAGCCGTCAAGATGGGAGTACTATATTTGAACACTTGGTTACTAAGGGGATGGACCTTTCATACCGAATGAAGCCATGTTGGACTAAGCATGGGGAAAAAAAAGAAACTAATGAGAAGCTTGATTCTGAAACTGCTAGTGACGAGACTTATAATTTATTCCAAGCTGCCTACTTTATGGATGAAGAACTTTCCCGGGCAATACCTATTGATGAACCTACAAGTCGTAATAGTGATGATGAATTCATGAAGAAGCTCGAAGAAGCACAAACTCCTTTGTATCCAGGATGCAAAACATACACAAAGTTGTTAGCTATTGTAGATCTGTATGGTCTTAAGGGTCGGAGTGGAATTTCAAGTAAATTTTTTAATGAGCTATTAAGTATAATTCAGCGCATGTTGCCAAAGGAAAATGTTTTACCAGATTCAGTTACATCAATCAAGCGCTTCTTCAAGAGATTTAACATGGGGTATGAAAAGATTCATGCTTGTGTGAATGATTGTTGTCTCTTTAGAAAGGAGTATGCAAATTTGGATAATTGTCCGAAATGTGGCGCATCACGGTGGAAGATAAATAAGCGTACAAACCAAATACGAAAAGGTGTTCCAGTTAAAGTTTTGAGATACTTTCCTGTTATTCCCAGATTCAAAAGGATGTTTAGGTCCTTTCAAATGGCTCAAGATTTAAGATGGTACTTTACTAATAAAAGCACTGATGGGAAGATGCGTCATCCTGTTGATTCTTTGGCTTGGGATGTAGTTAACAGTAAATGGCCCTCATTTGCAGTTGATTCACGCAATCTCAGACTTGGACTTTCTACAGATGGTTTCAATCCATTCTCTATCTTAAGTTCTAAATATAGTTGTTGGCCAGTAATGCTTGTAAATTACAATCTGTCTCCTACAATGTGCATGAAAAAAGAGAATATTATGTTGACCTTATTGATTCCTGGTCCAAAGCAACCAGGAAACGATATAGATATCTATTTGCAACCACTAGTTGATGATTTGCAATTGTTGTGGCAGAACGGTATTGAGGCTTATGATGCATTTACCAACTCAACTTTTAACTTGAAAGCAATGTTGATGTGGACCATAAATGATTTTCCAGCATATGGGAATCTTGCTGGTTGTTCTACAAAAGGTAAAAAAGCATGCCCTATATGTGGGAAAAATACACATAACAGATGGTTACGCTTTAGCAAGAAATTTGCATACATGGGTCACAGAAAGTTCCTAAAGCCGTCACATCCATACCGGAAAAAGAAAGCATGGTTTGATAATAGTGTGGAAAATGGTAGCAAGCCCCGAGTACTTACTGGTCACAATATTTCAGCGGTATTAAAAGATTTTCCCAATAGCTTTGGAAAAGGTGGAGAAAAAAAAAGAAAGAGAAAGAGTAATGAATTTGATGGTGATGATGTGTTTGAAGATGAGACAAGTAACATCGATAATCAGAATGAGCTTAGTAGGTGGAAGAAAAGATCAATCTTCTTCTCCTTGCCATATTGGGAGGTAAGCCTTCTCTTTTCCATTATCTGATATTTTAAAATATTGTTTTCATGTAGTTGTTATACTTACTTAGTATTTGTATATTTTTATTCTCAGGAACTTCTGCTACGTCATAACTTAGATGTAATGCATATAGAGAAAAACATTTGTGAGAGCCTTATAAGCACTCTATTGCACAATGCAAAATCCAAAGATGGCATTAATGCTCGTAAGGACTTGGAAGATATTGGGATTAGAAATGATTTACATCCAGAACAGCGTGGGACCAGAATGTACCTCCCACCAGCACCACATACATTTTCAAAGTCTGAAAAGAAGAAATTTTGCAAGAGGGTATATGATTTCAAAGGTCCTGATGGTTACTGCTCAAACATTGGGAATTGCATAGCACTGGAAGAGTGTAAAATTATGGGTCTTAAATCACATGATTACCATGTTCTAATGCAGCAGTTATTGGCGGTTGCTATAAGAGGGTTGTTACCGAAAGAATGTCAGAAAGCGATAATTCGCTTATCAAGATTCTTCAATACATTATGTCAACGTGCAATTGATAGTGAAAAGCTATTGAGCCTTGAATATGAGATCAGTGAGATTTTATGTCAACTTGAACGCTTTTTCCCACCATCATTTTTTGATATAATGATACATTTACCAATTCATCTGGCAAGAGAGGCACGCTTGTGTGGTCCTGTCCATTTTCGTTGGATGTATCCTTTTGAGAGGTTAGATTTTGGTTATTTGTTTTCATTTCTCACACTTGAATCCATTATGAAAGTATAATATGTGTTTATTTACTAGTTTTTATTCTTTTTAGGTACATGAAGGCACTGAAAAAATGTGTGAGGAATACTGCAAGACCTGAGGGGTGTATTGCAGAGTCTTATTTGGCCGAAGAGTGCATTGCCTTTTGTCGTGAGTTTCTGGAAAAATCTTTACATGTCGAGGAAAATGAAGTTCGTAATGTAGAATTTGAAAATGATACCATTCTTGAAGGACGTCCTATATCCAAAACCACTGCAATCATGCTTACTGACAAAGAGAAAAATATTGCACATCGTTCAGTGATACTAAACACATCAATAATGGATCCATTTGTTCAGTAAGTAAATTTCTATTCATGTACTTATTTAGTATATGTTTGTATCTTTGGTAATTTTTTTTTAATTATTGTTTTCTTTTATATTAGAATGCACTTAGAGGAGCTGCAATCAAAACACAAACAACTTGAGAAAAATCAGACCATATTGTGGAAGCAACATAATGAAAAAATTACAGAATGGATAAAAGCTAAGGTGATATTGAAACTAATCATATTGGTTATATTCTTCTACTTTTTTGTTTTTTATATCTATTTAACTATTAAATAATATCTTTCAGATTCCTATCACCTCAACTAATCACTCAAAGACATTAAGATGGTTGGCATATGGTCCTAAGAAGAGTGCATTGTCATGCAAGGGATACATTATCAATGGGATGCGCTTCCAAACAAAATATATTGATAGGGAAACACAAAATAGTGGTGTGACTTATGATGCCATAACCATGTGCAGAGCAAGTGCAAAAGATACAGCACATGTGGTCGACCTAGTTTCATTTTATGGGGTATTAACAGAAATTATTTTACTGGACTACCATGTCTTTTATGTTCCTATCTTTAAGTGTGATTGGGCAAATAAAGGAAATGGTGTCAAGGAAGAAGATGGATTCACACTTGTAAACCTACAGCAAAATCAAGTTCCATTTGCCAGAGATCCGTACATCCTAGCATCACAAGCAAAACAAGTTTTTTATTCAAGAGATGATGATTCATCTAATTGGTATGTGGTAATGAAGGCACCACCAAGAGGTTATCATGAGTTGGAAACAAATGAAGAGAGTGGAAATATATCTTTCCGGACATCCCAGACTGAAATGGATATTGATGATTGTGAAGAGGATAGTAATGTTAGGGTGGATTGTGAAGGACTAATTGGGGAGGAGATGAATTAGTAGTTATACTTCAGTGTTCGAACTATCATATCATTTTAGTTGCCACTTGACAATTTTTTTGGTGTTTGTCAATGTTTTTATATGTGATTTTGGTATTGGTTATACTCTACAACGTTTGATTAATATTGTCTTTTTTAGTTTATATGTGTGTATACTTATCTTTGTTCTAATAGATAAACGATAATGGTTGGTGAGAGTACAAAGGTCTGTCGGCGTAAAAGAAAAAAGAACAGGGTAAATAGTGGAATGTCTGTAGACTTGGATGCAAGGGGTGTGAATTCAATGGAGGGTTGTGGACAAGTCACTGTCGAAGTACCACAAAATGAACCAGTTAGAGACATAGATAGTCATGATGAAGACATGGATCAACAAAACCACGCCGCTAGTGCTGCTCAGGTACAAGATAAAATTGAAGAAGCAAGAGTGAAAAGAAACAAAAGGGGCCCCACAAAAATGAAAAGACTTGCTAGGGACCCTGCAGACAGAATCCAAATTCAATACACTGATTTAGGTGAACCATATGGACCCGGATCAGTACAATTATCATCATTTTTGGGCACTCTTGTACGGGAGCGTGTACTCTTGTACCGGATCAGTAAAATTTGTTTTATGGGAAGAAGTTCAGGTAACACTTAAAGCACAAGTTTTTCTATTTCTATACTTTCATTTTATATTTCTCCCATGTTGTTTCACTTTAATTACTCAATTTGAATGTCAATTATGTTCAGTATACTGTCCTTAAACATGCACATAAAATGCAGACAAGATTTGTATTAGAAGAAGAATGAGAAAAGCATTATGTGTTTAAATCAATGGGATGTCTTTGGCGTGCCTCAAAATCACGACTGGTTTCCAAAATTCGAGCAACAAAGAAAAAGGAGCAGAGACTTAAGCTGAAACCAGATAACATACCATCTTTGGCAGCTTGGAAAAGATTTATAAAGATAAAAACAAGCCCATCATTTAAGGTATGATTTTAAGATAATTTATTACATTATTTTTAAAGAGACGTTATAATGCCAAATGTTCAATATTTCAGGCCATAAGTGATAAGTTTAAAGCCATGAGGCGCAAACAAATGCCACATACTTGTAGTCGTAAAGGAATGGTTCGACTGGCTGTTGATATGGTAATCTTTATGGTTTGATGATGTTCTTTTGTGAAGTATACATTTTCAATTAATTTTTTTTTACATATTTTGTTATAGAAAAGAGCTAGTGCTGATCCATCAACTGTATCAAGAGTTAAAGTTTGGATCAAAGGTCACACTAAAAAGGATGGTACAGCAGTGAATTCAACTGTTGGTGAAACCATTGTAAAGACATTTCTATGGATATTCTAAGTTCTTTCTATATCTTTCGTTCTTAAGCATTAAAAATAAATCACCTTTGTATTTCAGGATAAGCTGAAAGAAATTGAAAGTGATACGCCTTCATCCTCATCAACTAATATAAGAGAAGATGCTCTTTCTCAAGTATTGGGAAAAGATAAACCTGGACAACTGAGAGGAATGGGAAGGGGAGCTACTATAAGTAAAATATCTTTTTTACAAGCAAGAGATAAGCACGTGGTTCAACTAAAAGAGGAAAATGTTGAGTTTCGAAGTAGGATACAACACTTGGAGAATCTCGTCCAAAAATTAGTTGCAGTCCATGGGAATGAGGAAGCTGATCATGATCCTGGAGTTGATAAGACAAGTCATTTGGTATACTAGTCAATTATTAAATTTTAAAGTTAGAGATAATACTATGTTTAGAGTTTTTCTACTAACTATAAGTCGTGGTACATTGTAGGGCATGCGTCCTAAACTCCATGGTAAGTGCAACCTTTTAGATTGGTGTGGAAAAGATGAGGTTGTAGCTGAAGGACACTTGTGCTCTAGTGACCCAAAAGGGCTTGTTAATAATGCTCCTCTTGGACCTAATGCAATGGAAGTGATGGTCGACATTACAAATAAACCAGATGCTTTTCTTTGGAGACCTACATCTAATATGTTATGCATGAAACAAGCTGTTGGTAAGACAATTGCATGGCCAGCTGATAAGGTGGTGAGGCAGATTACTCAAAATTCTGAAAATGAAGATAATACCTCCTTAAATATGGTAAAAACTGCATTTTTATATATTTCTATTGCATATCTCATGGATATGACATTTATAATAAAACAGTTCTTATGTCTTCATTTATTGGTAGGATACAAATATTAGCCATATCAGGTGTAAGATATTCAATTGGACTGGAAAAGATGAAATTGTTGCTCAAGGTCATTGGATTTCTAGTGATCCAAAAATGATTGTTAATGGTATTCCACTCGGACCTTAAGCCATGATTGTTTGGATTGATGACATTATAAGTCCTGAATGTTTTTTGTGGAGACCTACACTAGACATGACATCCATCAAAGATGTTAGGGGAACCAAAATAGCATGGCCTAGTGATAAGGTTGTATTAGAAAATATCTCTAATCACAATTTGCAGTCTGCAAACAAATCATCATCTTCTCAGGTACTTATATTTGTTTATTAGCATTAATTTGGTACGCCTAGGATCCCTGATGCAGTTCTTTGGAGGCCAACATCTGAGTTGGAGTGTATTGAAGATGCGGTTGGTACTACAATAGCTTGGCCATCAAACAAAGTTGTTATGCTTTAATATGCTGGTAAGTATTTTTATTTGGCCACAACAAGTGAAGAATAATTGGCTACTTTGAAATCTATATTTGTTAAAGGCTGAAATCAAGAATTGATGTGACCAAAGTTGTAATGATTAAAATACAAAACTAATTGATAAAAATGGTTAAAGGTTGAAACATAGTTCCAATTAATATTGTAGTATATAAGACTGTTGAAATATCATTTGTTAAATGGCCAGTTGAAATATCCTCGATTTAGATGATGTTGAGTAGTGCTGTGGAGTTTTTATAGAATATTCCACATGGGTGCATAACAAACCAATTGACACTCCAGTAGTTGTCCACAAAAGTACAGCTGTGGAGCTTGTAATTATTCATGAACATTGTCACAACTCTAACTTACTGAAGTTTATGATTTGTGTTTGGTATAATTGATAAATCAAATGAGTTGAATCCATTAATGTTTACTTTGTTAGGAAAGAGAAGAATGTGCATTATAAGATGAAGGAATTTTTAGGAGAATTCTCATTGTTGGGGTTGTTTCTGTCTTCTTTTTTGCAGAAATTTTGGGCTCAATTAGTGAAGATGAAGTCATATGTGATGCTGAATAGTCACCAACTTTTTTACTACTATGTTTGATGTATCACCATCTTGGATGATTGAAGATAACTTTTTAATTTGTTTTTGTAATATACTGAATTTGTTAGAGAATGTTATGGATTTAAAGTTGTGTCAATTAGTACTTTTAAATGAAGTGTCTATATGAAACTAATTTTACTTTCATTCTACTGTGTAATTAATTAAATAGAATTTAAATGATGGTGAAAAGTTTACAAATGCTATCAAAGACGTTTCATAGCAGAACTACAATGTTATTTTTTTTGCTTTTTATAGCATATCAAAAGTATTGTGATAAAGTCATTGCTGTATTATAGCATTCTATTTTGTGATAACAAAAGAAATGATATGCTTGTGACCTTAGTTTGATAGCATGTGTAAAATGCTATAGTTGACTGATTTTTATAGCAATTGATCAAATGTTATAAAAAGCCTCACACTTTCCATAGCAGCTCCTAGCATAGCATTTCATGCAATGCTATGGAATGATAACATAGCATATTTTAGATGCTATTGATTAATCAACATGGTGTAGTGTCCGCATCGGAACTTGACCCGATTTAGAATTTGGGTGGTATCTCGTCGGAGATGACAACTGAAATTTGGCTGGAAATTACCGTGTTCACCATGGCCCGGTAATGAAATTCAACAGAGGAGGTGGTCGATATAGGGGCGATGAACAACAATCCGGTAAAGAAATTGTCTTTGCAGACAAGGGTAACTTAGGATTTGGGAAAAGACAAGGTATAAAAGTCCCCTCAAAGTAGTACATATTTACAAAAAGAAACCAAAAGCAGATAAAAGCATCTCAATGGTTGCTTCAGCTTTTGAGATATAAGTGCTTATATTTAAGTAGAATTTTGTGTTTCCAAACACTTGTTTTAGCTTTTGAGAAAGCAAAAGCCCATAAGTGCTTAAAAAACGCAATGGCAAACACAACCTTAATATGTCTCTAGTTTTGAACCTATTTGTGAAAAATTCCCAAATATCTTTAAGTCACATGTATCCCTTTTTTTGGTAAACACCTCTTTACTTTTTAATAATACATAGTACATACAAAGCATATGATTTGTTTATAGAAAGAATTCCCTAAATAGGAGTAAAATCATTTTGAAATTTCAAAATAAGAGTATTGTGTTTTCATTCCCTGAATAGGAGTAAATTTCAGCCATGTTAAACATTACAAGACTTTAAACATAACATTGTTTCCAAACTTGGCATATTACTCCAAGTTAGGATACCCTTATTTTGGAATTTTAAAATATTTTTAGGATGTTTTTACTTGGACTGTAATTTGTCCCAGACAAGACCAAATCAGACCAGACTTGAATAGTTATAAAAATACAAAGAGACTAGACCAGACTATGCCTGGACTCGGGCCAATTCGGGCATGGGCCCGGCCGTGCCTTGACGTGCACTTTGTCGTGATGTGCACTCAAAATAATAATACAATACAACACTTATACATAGTATAACGTAGTAGGGTTCGTATCCGCAGGGAAAGGAATACTTCTCTTTTTATAACTAGTAATAAGGGGGGGTTTTGATTTAATGATTGAACTTAAATTATATTTAAGCACGAAGATGAACGAGTTATGTGGTTTAATCAATGAGAAGAAAACTTGGTTTTGCTTTGATCCACTTAATGAAATGTTCGTCGATCCCGGTTATATCTTTAACTATCTTCCTCTCGAATACTCAATCAAGGAGTATATCCAGTTCATCGAGGGTAGTTATTAATAACGAGATGCGTTCATTAATAAAACTTACTATCGAGTCAATATAGAACAAGCGCCGTATATTAACTTGATAGTAGCAATAAACTTAAGATGAAAACGATTGAGATTGATAACCTCAACACAAGCGGTTTATTGGTTTAATCAATATAATTAATTCCCCTTGGCTTATTAATCATGAGAAGCATGCATTAACAACCCAAGTTTTACTACCATTGAAAGAACCGAATTAATAACAAGCGTATTAACCGATTGATTCTAGTAATAATTAATATATGAAACAAAACTAGTTGATCCTTTAAGTAATGTTCAAAATATTAATATGAAATATGAATAGGAATTAATTAATACTCAAGGAAGAATATTAAAGAAGATGAATCCTACTATAGTTAATATCAAAATGTTAACTAATTGTCATCTTAGTAACACTCCCCAATATTAACATAGAAGAAGAAATAGTTATTACTATAACTAATGTCAAGATGTTAACTAATTGTCATCTTAGTAACACTCCCCAACATTGATATAGAATTAGTATTTAAAGGAAGAATTAATATTCAAGGAAGAAGATTAAAGAGAATAACTCAAAACTTACAAATTCATTAAGCTTCAAAGTAGCAAAAACCAAGATGGAAGAGTTTAGCTCCTCATTTGGAGACTAAACATGCTATAAAAATATAAAAGAAATACTATTCTAAACTGAGCTTAAGAGTATGGAAGAAGGGATGATTAAAAGTGAAGGAAAATGGGGCTATTTATAGGTGTTTTTCAACACCTTTGGCCGGGTACCCGACCGGGTAAAGTGCCCACCCGACCGGGTGCATGTCAAAATCAAATATCCTCCACGTTCTGGTGATCTTCGGCACGTTCTGGTGTTCCGGGTCAAATCGGACCCGACTGGGTGAAATACCTCACCCGACCGGGTGATGTAATTTCCTGAGCAGTTTCACATTTCAATGTCTCACCCGACCGGGTGCACTACCTCACCCGACCGGGTGATTTGTCCTGGGCAACCAAGAATTATTTTTCTTCACATTCAAAGTCTTCCTTTCCAACACCATAAATCCTAACTCTACTTTACAACTTACAAATGAGAACTAAAATACAATTACAACTAAAATCACACAAATGTTTACAAACTAAATAAAATGGTAAACAATCCACACAAATCAAACATAAAAAGACACATTTATGCACTACTAATTAGTGCATATCAGGCCTCGATTCATGAAAAGGGAGGCTCGAAACCGGCTCGAAACCGGCCCGAATCAGTTCCAAACACCCCCTTACTCTTGTATAATTCACCGTGTGGTGATCCTCGTATTTCCATACTATAAATAATGAAATAACACAACAGTAATAGCTAGTCAAGCGGATTGGGTATTCCTATCCGCTAACAATTCTTATCGTCTAACTAAATGAGTAGCGTATGAGCATCAAATACGGTCAGCTCATAATTGCTAACCGTTTACATATATACAGGAGTGATAATATGTGACACCGCACCCGAACGTCCTTGAAAAATTCAATTTAAAAAAATTGAATGTCCATGTATTGAATTTCCGATTTCCAAACAATCGTAAAACGATTAATGTTTTACGTAGCGCATAATTGGTTATTGTACTGTTCAACTCGTATATTAGTGTCGGGTTTGCAAATACTTATTTTGGGCCGAACCTGCTAAAAATAACAGGTATTCAAGAATGACGTCGTAGGCCCACTCGGGGGTGACCCACACGGCTAGCGGTCCAATAATATGAATGACAATGTCAAAATAAGTGATTGAATGATTAGAGATGAATACAAATGCCTATGGTCCCATCTTTGGCATTATTGAGCTAAATAACAGGAGTAGGTTTTTCTTCTAACATCATATAAATTATTGGGATGATCCTATACATACTAGAGATCAATAATATGATGTAGAAGGTTGAATTATTCTAAATAAATTAGAATGAGTACAAAAATACATCTTATGACAAAAGATAAAACAATATGATCCATCTTCCCATTTTTGGAAGTATTGGTGCATATTTTGGACCCCAAATCAATTGGGATCAATTGGGGTGTGTCCCATACTTATTGGCACCTGCAAGACAAAATAAGTATTAGGAGTAGGGATGGACGGATAAAAACGAAGGGGAGCTGCACAAGACATGAAAGACATCCAAGAGGGGCCACCTAGTCTATTCCCGCACAAAAAGGGTGTGCTGGTTGTCTCCCCCCATTATGGGAGTTTTACTCGTCCAAATAAGGTGAGTAAGGTGTCATTGGATAGCCCTTGAAGTCTAGTTTCATATTTGAGTGGTCTTTGTGCGATAGGGGAGAGTCTACCATACGAAAATCAAGCTGGAGTGAACTGTTGTCTGTAAACTCGAGCAGTGAGAGTACTGAGGCTGTTTGGTTGATATCTAGAGTTACACAAATCCAATTGAGGCTTATAAGATACCAAAAGAAATATCTCAAGACGAGGAATCCGTGAAGGTCTAGTTTGCATCAATCGGAATGTGTAAGGCTTCCAAATCGTCCGAGAAAAACACAACCTCGCAGAAATGGATCTACACTTCTAAAGTGAGTTTTAACCCCAATACCTTTCCTTTCATTTTTCCAAATGATATGAACGCTTTATGGAGCTATTATACACCAATCCAAGTGTATAATATGTCCTTATAGAGTTAATTTATTGATGTAAAGGTTAGATACTAACCTAGAGCAAATCTTGGAAAACTAGGAAACGAGTTAGCCGGAAAACACCCATTCTAGGGGCTGTTTTCGTATCAACGATTAGGGGTTGAACTAGCACCTTGAGGAGGCTGTTTAACACTCAATTCCAAGCAAGGAATCAGTTCTCAAACCTTCTTGGCCGAGGCTTTGGTCGTTGGAGCAAGAAGGAAGGTTTTAAAGCTCATTTGAGGTGAGGATCGACATCTAATTGCTTACAACTTGTAGGTTAAGCATGAGATTACCTAAATGCCTAAATCATAATTTTTCATGGATTATGATGATTAAATATTGATTAAATATTGATATAGTTCCCAAAGAATGAAATTGGAAATGATTTGAGGATGTATGGATAATATGAGATTAAATGAGTTATAAATGAACTATTTTGTGAAATAGGGATTTTACTTATGTATTAATATGTGGATACATAAATGGATATTTATGTATTGAAGTTGAATGTTTAAGTTGCTGCTACATACTTATAAATATGTAGAGAATTACAAAATGGGGATATTTGTATGATGACAATAATCTTGATAGTATTGAAATACGATAGTACTAGTTAGTGATTATTTGAAATTGTTGATAGAATTGATCCTAAGTATTGGATTGTATGGAATGCACTTGAATGTACTTCAAGTGTATAAAATGACTTAGTATGAAGCTAAGGGTAAGTTATGGGCAGTCAT